TTGATATGGTTATATTCATCTTCTGTAAGCTTTGATATGGTTATATTCATCTTCTGTAAACTATCTTTGGCATGCATGTGAATGATTTTATATATAATAAAATTTGGAAGTAAGTGTGGACATGCATGTATAAATAATTATGCCTATACCAGATGTTGTTGAATGGAAAGCAGAATTTGTGTTTCCGCCTGTTTGATTTGGTTGATGATTGAGAATTCCAGCTAATTTTGGTAGGGCTGGTTTGTTTGGAAATTAATTGGTGGCAGTAATGGTTGGAATGAAGGGTATGGAAATTATGGATTTCATATATTGATTAATTTTCACAAGCATATGTGCATTTTTATGCATATTCACAATGTTTGTGATAGAACAGAAATTATGGGAGCAGTATGTTGGATATGGTGGCTGAATTGTGTTGTTGACTGAAATTGGAGATTTAATGCAATAGGTTTTATATGGGTAGAGCATATATGTTGATCCTAAAGAACCAAAAGTTATTAATATGTTTTTTTGTTATAAAAGTTATGCTGTGAAATTCTGACAGTCCGAACTTCGAAAATTTTATTATATTTTCGGGTTTGCAAATGAAGCTAAATTTCAGGTATTTTGTTTTAGACTTATTAGAATTGGTTGAAAATTGATTTCACACCAAAATTCGAAGTATTGGATTTTTTAATGAATTTTGAATTCTGCTATGAAATTCTGGAATTTCATGTTTTCTGTAGAGCATGCATTTTTCAGAACTGAAATAATGCACTACTTATCCAAATTGAGTGATTTTTAATTCTTGTGAATTCTATATGTGTCTATTTAATTCTGGAGAGTTTCATGGGTTTAGATTAAGGGCTGAATTGTTATGAATTTTACAAGTCAGTAACCTCAATTCTGGAAACAGTTGGCAGATTTAATGGTTTGAAAGAAATTGTGTTTTATAGTTATTGATTCTGAAGTGACTTGAAAATATTACTGGATCAACTTATATTTGTCTTGAATGCCCCATTGAAATTATAGCTTGATTTGGTGAGTGGATTAAACCAAATCTTCTTCCAAAAGCTTAAATCCATGTTTGCTGTTAACTATGATTTTGTTTTAAATGTTTGATGAAGTTGGTATATAGAATTATATGTTATCACGCTATATGAATAAAATTTTGAGAGGAGAATTGGTTGAATTGTATACGGGTTGAGGTTCGTGATCTTGGTAGATGGTTTCTTGGTAAAAAGAAAAAGAGAAGGGGTGCATTCTGTCAGTTTTTGAAAGTAGTTTTAAAACTTGCATTCTACCCCCATTTTGCATGGAATTTCATACGATTTGGCTGATTTACTTTTATATGAAATGTGTATATCTTATGATTGTGATGGACATATGCTATGGAAATGTGATGTTGAAAGTAATTTTTAATCTGGTTAAACTGTCAGTTTTAAAACATGTTTGGAAATTTAGTTTCACCCTTGGATGTGTTTTTTGAATATTATGTCATATATGCATGATTTTAAGCACATATGTGGTATGTTCTTGACTTATATATTACTTGAGATTAACTGATATGCATGATTAGAGAGTTTGTGATTTTGATAAATATGCTAAATAGAAACGAAAAGGTTGATTTGTCAGTTTTGGGGCATGTTCATAAATCTATATTTTCCCCCTTGGGCATATATCATATTTTTTTCAAGCAAACTATGCATTTTTCATAGAAAAGCATGTAGACTATATATAAGAGTAAAAGTGGTTTTCAAACCACCCTATGAAGTACCCATCCCCCAGAGATACAGATTATTGGCTCTGCCCAGCATGCAGGATTCCGCCGGTATGACAGTTTCAGATTTTTGCTCTGCGCATGCGTATGACGATTTTATTGCTCTGCTTGGGTGTTGAGTGGTCCGCCAGGTAAGACAGTTTCAATGGCTCTGCCCGTGCGATGATAGATCTTGTCGGGTGTGACGATTTTATTGGCTCTCCTGGGCGTTGAGTGGTCCCCAGGTATGACAGTTTCAGTGGCTCTGCCCGTGCAATGACAGATCTTGCCGGTATGACAGGTACATCCTTTCTCTGCCTATGTGTGGACGCCCACCAGGTAAGACAGATTTTCCCCAAGGGTACTAGTTGCGGTGGAGTTTTCTGTTATTAACATCAGAATCAGTTTTAGAATGTTCAAAAATCACATTCAGTTTTTAGTATTTGCTACGAGATAGCCTCAATATGAGTTTCAAGAATGTTAAGAGAGCCTTCAATATTAGCCACAGTTTTAAATAAGATATCAGCTTATAGTTTCAGTATCAGTAAAAGCTATAGTATCCAGTTTAAATTTCAGTTATCAGCATAAAGTTTACAGTATTCCAAAACCAGTTATCTGGCATAGCTTCAGAAAAATCATTCTTCAATTTTATATCATCACAATAGTTTAAATTTAGTTACCGATTTTGTTTTGAGAGTCATGAGTGTTCATTGAATGATGGTTTGGATGTTTGTAGCATGACTAGTAGAGTTATTATTTTCATAATCATATGCATTCTTGATTGATGACATAGATGTTGCAGCATGACTTATAAAAATATTGTTCCCAAAGCATAAGCACTTACAGTATGTTTTAAGTTCTAGAAAAAGAATTTAAGCATTCAATGATGAGCTATAATTCAAAATTTGTTTTCAGCTTAAATGATGAGATACAGTACTTAGAACAATTTTAGAAACGAGTTATACATGCACAGGAATGATTTAGTTACTTCCATAACACGTTCATAGAATCATGTTGTTTTTAATTTCAATAAACTATTGCATGCCATGACTATTGTTGAAGAATGTTTTGCAAACCTCCCCAATCCCCCACTCACTGAGTATTTCAGCTCACCCCTTTTTAGACCCTTTTCCCAGGTTCACAGGAAGAGTCGTGCTGACGAGTGATTCCTCTCGAGGTTGGGCCCTACGTCATCGACTCATCATGTGTGTAAAAATGTCATGCTGTTACCGTTACAGAATTATGTTTTATCCTTATGTTTATCTCATGTGTTGATTATAAAATATATGAATATCTGATACCATCCGTTTTTGGATTTTATGAACGTACAAGTTAGCTTTCAGATTTTCAAATGTATACATATATATATCTTATGTGTTTATGCTTTCAAAACGAATCCAAGCGAACGTTTTTATGAAAAACGTATTTAGAATACAGGTTTTTTTTTTAGATTCCCACATGGCATGTCTCGGCCGCCCGAGTCTCATAGGTGCGCCCGGAGCTTATGGGGTAGGGAGGGTCGAGGCGGGTTGTGTCATGTATAAAGTCTTAAAAGTGAAAGAGGTTGTGGAAGTTTTAGAAAATGACATATTGTACTTTAATGAAGATTGGAAAGATGACTCAAGCAGTATCCTTCTTCTAGTAAGGCAATATGTGTAATTGTTTTGGGTGAATGACATTAGAAGTGAGATTAAGGTTAGTTAAATGTGCTGGAATATTCGTATTGAGAACAAAACAAGGCAAGGATAGAGGGATATGACATTAGGAAATGAAAAGGGAAATCGTGATTATGCTAAAGTATTTAAGAATGTTCTAAGTCTAATGATTTTGAGGGGCAGTTGGGCAATAAAGGTGAATAACATAAAGGAAATGGTGAGGAAATTATCCAAGAATCTTTGTAGTTCCGTTCAGGCCCTTAAGAGAGGACTTGACTTATGAAGGGTGGTCGATTTAGATCATAGGTCATAAATTATAAATTTTTAATGCAAGAAATATCCTTTGCATTAGAATTTCGTGAAATGACCATACAATTGAAGAGTATATGGAAATGCGAGATTTATAAGAGGATGTATTCTCCATATATCCTTTATAAAGGACGAAATTTCTTTAAAGGGGGAAGAATGTAATGCCCCCTATTTTTTTGCATGGAATTTTATCAAAGAGTAAACGACATATTCCCATCCAAGGTTTGACAAAATCCTAGTGGGTACCCCTGGTTTCATTTATTCTAGATTCCCACCTCAAAAGGACATTGTTGTCATATTTAGGTTACAAAGGGTGTTATTACCATAATGTCTTTAACGAATGAATTAATAAATTAATTTTAACCCCAAAATTACTAAATTATAAGTTAACCATCTTATTTTTAAATTACTTCAATAATACCCTTGGTACTACGCACCCTCTTAGTTTTTGTCGGATTTGGGTTGTTTCCAACGGTGTTGAACCCCCTGGTCATCTCCATCACCTTCCCCATCGTTCGTCGTCCAAAACTTCTCTGGTTCCCAACTCATTGGCCCCTCTGATCGTCGACACCGTAAGGCTTAGGGTTTCGATGTTCTTCGTTAGATTCCGATGATGAAAATCCAATTAGACATCACCACTGCAACCAGCGTCTCCAACTCTACAAAACCCCTATGTCTTTAGCAATTGTTTAGTCGTCGTTCGCCATTCGAGATCGACAAAAGCCAGTCGCATGTAGCGGTTGTCGTGGCTGGCAATTGGAGAGTGATAAGGGGTTGTGAAGAGTAAGATTTTGTAGAGTAGAGGATAGGGGTTCAAATGGTGATGACAAGGGTTATTTTGGTTGGAAGAATCGTCTAAAAAGGGTAAAAAATGTCAGAGGTGACATCGGCTAACGTGCGTCGGAGCACTGTTAGGGGCGACGATTTGCTAATGTGTGCCTCTTCTTGCAAAATGGCCAATTTAATTACCCCTTAACTGTTATATCCAACAATTTTCCGTCACTTTAAGGGTGAGAATCTGGAATAAATGGAACTAAGGGTACTAACTTAGGATTTCGTCAAACCTTGGGCGGGAATATGTCGTTTACTCTTTATTAAATTTTATTTTGTGATTTTGGGGGTTAAAGTGTTAGATTTTGAAATTTTGAGGGAGTAGAAAAATCGAAAACAAGCGAGGACCAAAGGGAATTTGTCAGATATTTTTATGAATAGTAATAGATCTTAAAAGAGAGGACCAGGAAGAAGACGGAGAAAAAAAGAGAGAAAAGAAAGGAGAAAAGAAAGAGGAGAAAAGAGGGAGAAGAAGAAAAGAAAAAGAAAAAAGAGAAGAGATGGAAAGGAAGTTCGGCCAAGAAGGGGAGAGAGAAGAGTACAGAGCGATGGTGGTGGCTGAAACAGGGGTCACCGGCCGGCAAATTCCGGTGATCGGAAAGCAAAGGGAGATTGAGCAAATGGGAGGTTAGTAAAGCTTGATATTTCCCTTGTTGGTGATTTATGATTCAATTGATTTAAAGAACTCTCTTTGGATTGTTTTGTCTATGAATTGGTATAAATTCATGAAAAGAAAACTGAAATGTGGAGATTGCAATAATTTAGGTGGGTAGAGCATATATGTTGTGCTTAAACCCAATCTGTTATAGATGTGATTTTGGGTATGGAAGTTTACACTGTGAAGCCTAACCATTTGGACTTTCGAAAAATTTATCTAAGCTCTGGGTTCTCGGTTGGAGCTCAAATCCGGATATGTTGTTTTAGACTTCTTGAGGAATGTTTGAAAAATCATTTCACCAAAAAATTCGAAGTATTGGATTTTTTTTATAGATTTTTTAAGTCTGCCCTGAAAATTCTGGAATTTTCGTTTCCTGCGGAGCACCCTTTTTTAGTAAAAGAGTTAGTGCAGCTATACTTTTCCAAATTGAATGATTTTAAATTCTGGTAAATCCTATATGTGTCTAGTTTAATTCTGGAGAGTTTCGTGAGGTTTTGATTAAAGGCTAAATTGTTACGAATTTTACAAGTTAGTAACGTCAATTCTGGAAATAGTTGGCCGTTTTGAATGAGTTGAAAGAAAATTGTATTTTAAATAGTTATTGATTCTGGAATGACTTGAGAAAATTATGGGAACAACTTGTGTGTCTCTAGAAGGCCCCATTAAAATTATGGCTTAAATTGATGAATGAATTTTTTATGAAAAATCCGAGAGCGACCAATGCTCGGTTATGAGACAGTTTTGGTAAAGAAGAAATTAAATTAATCTTTTGGTCAGTGAAGTGTCCAATGATTTTAATGTTGAGGTGTTACATTGGGGGGGGACTTATGTATGGAGGATTTATTGGATTTTGTATATAGGGAGGGTTGGGATGGGTGGTGTCACTAACACAGTACTCTCTTCTGTATTCAAAGCTTATTTATCTCTACAAGCAGCTTTGTAGTGACAATTTTGATACAAATAAATGATTAATTTACTCTGTGGTTTTTTGAATGTGTTATAATATACACTTTGTTATATGATAGAGGTAAAATCACGAAAAGACTATGATGAGACTCCCTGCACTGCTAACAAACAATAGCCAAACAGTACAAGATAACAGAATATGTTCACCACAAACAAGCCTCAACCAAGTATATTAATGGAGAAAAACAAAGAACAACCAAAACAATTGATAAACTCAACAGATAGATCCCAGCAATTCGAGGAGCTGGGGACCTCCCACAATGCACTATTTTTATCTCCCCCCCTTCACCAACACTGACCTCCTTTATTTATACTAACTTCCAGACTACCCATTCTCTATGCTAATCAACCTGATTCTCCACTCACACAAATAACAACTTGATTCCCTACTCACACGTGATTGTAACTAATTCCCCTAACAACCAACAGCAAAGCCCTCACATTCCCGATTGTCCCTTATGCCCCTTGTATTGGTAAACATGTTTAATGGGAGGTCTATCAATCTATAATACCCAGTGGTCAACTATGACTCTTGGGTGTATCACTCAAAAGGTCCTAAGTTCAATCCATGTGGGTTGTTAATAGTGGTGGCCAATGAGGGGATTTACTCGGCTGTCAACTTCAGGGTCTTGGGGAATTACTTGAGGTGTGCATAAGCTGGCCCGGACATTCCCGATCCCCAAAAAAAAGACTTTATTAAATGTATTTTTCACCCGTAGTTTGGTTTATATTAATTTTAGGGTTAAAAATTATTTTAAAATTAAAGATAAAGTCAGTTACTACTATCTTCCTTCTCATCTTAAAAGATTTGTCATTTAACTTACACTTGTGGTAAGGATAATGTGGCAAATAAATTTGAAGCATTCCATGAAGCCATGAACTGAAGGACAATTTTGCAAATCAAAACCATATTTGAAGCATTCCACGAAGCTGTGATTGCAAAACTACTATAGTTCTTGTAAAATTGTTGCCAAAGTTCAAATCATTGAGGGTTTTTTCTTTAAGAAATCGAAATATCATTGAGCTACCTGATTCAATTGCAGATTTGAAACTTTACAGGTACCTTAACCTTTCACAGACCGAGATTACAGGCCTACCCAAGTCAACAAATTCATTAATGAACTTAGAGGTTTTGATATTAGGATGGTGTACAAGAATCAAGAAATTACTCCTTTGGGAAATTTGATCAATCTCCGGCATCTTGATATTGAAGGGGTAAATTTGAGAGGACAATGAAAGTGGATATTTCGGCCGACAGAAATCCTACCTTATGGAATCATGATTCACTTGCCATGTTATGATTTTATAGTTTCAAAGGACAGTTGAGGCAGAACAGAGCGTCTGTGGCATGTGACTTGTGAGTTAGTGAAGATTTGCTCAAGATCAAGCTTGTGGTGAGAATCCTTGTTCCTTCTCTCCTTCCGCACACTTGTTTATGATGTTTTCCGTGGATATTTTATTTGTCTCTATCTTTTAATTAGGGCGAAAACCAAGACTTCTAGGAGAAACAGCAACTACGAGAGGGCTAGTATGCTGAATCGGACAATTTCCACAGAAAATTCTCCCTAGGCTGGTTATGTTCCACCCTTTCCTGCAACAGCATTGGTTTAAAGATATCTAAAACTCCAAAAAAAGAAAATGGACCCTCCTCAAGGGAATGTCTGCTTATGCAGTCAGACAATGCCTCAAACTTCACCAGTTGAGGTGATTTCTAATGACAATGTCTTGCAAAATGAACCAGTTGAGGTGCAGAGCTTGGCATCTCTATCTTGTTTTAGGCTGTTGGTCAAATTCTAATCTCTAATCATTGGCAAATTCTAAAAATTTTGTGCTCTGCTGATCGACTTTTGCTTTATAAAATTTACTTGATGTTCTTCTTCTACGAGTTAGCCTCTACTATTGGCATTGTGAAGCCGCAAGAAATGGCAAGAATATGTTGGTGTTAGCTCTGCTTCATGTCAATTTTGATAGAATAACTGAGACATATCTTAGGTAGTTGAGTTATGTTTTGTACAGAAAGTGAGTTGAATGATTTTTTCCCCAAATTCTGGTCAATTGTATTTAAGTGTTGTGTAATACTTCAGATCAAACTTTAATTTGTTTATGAAAGTTTTTGCCATTGCCTGTTTGTAAATATGTTCTTCCTCTGTTGTGAATAAGGTATGTAGATTGGTCAATGGCAGTTCTTGCCATCTTTGTTATGAATGTATTTGCTTTCCTCCCCTTCTTCCTATCATACATTTTAGGCGGTTCATTTTATTATTTTAAAACAAGAAAGCTTCTTATTGTTGTTCAATCCTGGACTTTATTTCATGTGACCAATTTGGTAAGGTCTAACAGAGTATGGTAACTCTTCTGTCTCCAGAGCTTATGCATTTTGTGGCATATTACAAGCAGCTTTGAAATGAAAATTCTGATACAAATAAACATTATTCACTGAAATGCCAAAAAAGGTATCACATTCATGCGCCATGCACTGCAGACAAGCGGCCAGCTCAACCTCCAGACAATTCTTCAAATTCTTATCCAAGTCGCTTACACCACAGATCCCGGGAGATTGGATTATTATACAAATTAATTATTTTAAGTTCTATAAAAGCTTGTGATCCATTTGGGTGGGTTTTACTGGTGTCTGAGAAAGCTAGCCTTTTGACCTTTTCTTTGTGTGAACAGATTAACTATCGAAGAAAAAGGGTTCTCGACTTTTGATTCATGTCATCAGAAGTGTCCATAGGGCTTTACTTCTATAAAGAGGATGAAGCTGGTCGTATAATTAATTTCCAAAGCACAAAGATCAATGGAGTCATTATTTTATTTTCGATTAAAATCTTTTTTTAAAAAGCTAGTTTCATTAGTTTAACTTATCACAAATTGTTTGTACAGATACTCTCACCTAGTCTCTCATCTCTCAGTCACTCTCAAACTCTCTGCCCTTAATTTCTCCAGTGTTGAGGTACGTTACTCTCAAACTTTCCGCACTTAATTTCTCCAGTGTTGAGGTACGGAGGTTAAATGTGTTTACCTTTTTTATGAATGTATGTTTCTTTATTTTTTTATTATTATTTTTTTTTTTTTTGTGACTGAGATTCTCTAGGCCAACTTGCGCACACCTCAACTAATATTCTGAAATCTTAAAGTTGACCACCGGGTAAATCTTCTTAATATCTACTCTTATTAGCAATCCAAATAGATCGAACTTAAGACCTTTTGAGTAATATACCCAAACTCTTAGTTGATTGCTGGACCACCCCCTGATGGTTAGTTTCTTTAAATTTAGAGATAGTGAGATAAGACTTCTTTTGATCTTCTTTTGGTTGATTATTCAAGATGATTATATGTATTCTTTTTTTTTTTTTTAACAATAAATAAAGGGTACTTTTTGAGAAATTTCTTTGCACCTTCTAAACTAATAAATTCCATTTCGTCCAAACTGATATTTTTGTTTTATGTTTCAATAACAAGACTAAATGAGTGGCTCTAGCTGCCTTCAAAAGAGTCAGTCAACTACGGTATTTTTTCTACGAGTAATACCACCCATGCAATATTTTTATATAATATTTCTTATACAACATGATGTAACAAAAGATGATTAGGTGAAAGTTCATTTTTAATTTAAAATCAATCAATCATTTTTGCCACATCATATTCTATAAAAACGTGGTATGTGTTGTATTATGTTTTTTCTACAAATATTTTCACCTCTCGTATCAAACTCTCAATTATTTCTCTTATTATACTCTCAATTATTTCTCTTATTCTCTCATCACGCTCTTACCAACTCTTCTCAATCTCTACTCTTGTTTTCTCACTGTTAAGGTAAATTTACTTATTTTCAAATCTGTTTTTCGAATATTTATTTTCATATTTATATTTTGACGTATGTTTATCAGCATCTTCATACTATTGTATTCATTTATCATTAATTTAAACATAGATATATATGAATATATTAACTGGATCTTGCCCCATTTTACAATAGATCTTTCTCTCTCTGGCGGATTATTTTTCTTTAACTTTGTGTTTGTACTTAAATTAGATAAATCATATTACTCATGAATAGAATTTAGTTAAATCAGTACTTAAGAACTATAAGGAAATCAGATGATTAATGTAAGTTCAACTGCTGTTACACCAAGAAATTGACCGTAGATCATTGTTGTATTTGATGTTTTTAATTTCAAAAATGAATTTGGTTGCAGTTAAACAATTAAATCTATATGAATTTGGTTGGTGTTACAAGTTTATTGGACAGTTTTGTTGATATTGTCCCTCTCGCTTGCCTGTTGCTTCTTTGTGACAATCCTTTCTTTTCTTTCACAGACTAAACCAGAATCATGGCAGTGGGAGAAGTCTTTCTGGGTGCATTCCTCCAGGTGTTTTTCGACAGATTGGCGGATCGTAGGTTGCTGTCCTTTCTACGTGAATCTGGGATAGATATAGTGATAAAGCAGTGGAAGAAAAAGTTATCGATGATTCAAGCGGTACTTAACGACGCAGAAGAGAAGCAACTAACCAACAAGGCAGTGAAAATGTGGTTGGATGATCTGCAAGACTTGGCTTATTATGTAGAAGATATTCTGGATGAATATGCCACTCAACTTGCAGAGCGCAAATTGATGACTACAGACCACCCCACGAACAGCTTTACTGATTATTTCTCTTCTTTGATGTCCAACCGTCACATGAAGTCGCAGATAGAAGAGATAACTGACCGTTTGGAAGATCTGTGTGATCAAAGAGATTGTCTTGGGTTGAAAGAGATTGCTGGAGGGACATCAACTGCTACACCACAAAGACTACCTACTACATCCTTGCAACTTGAACCTGCTGTTATTGGTAGAGATGATGATAAAGCCAAACTACTTGAAATGATGTTGAGGGATAAACCAAGTGATGCCAACTTTCATGTAATACCCATTGTTGGAATGGGAGGAATTGGCAAAACAACACTTGCTCGCGAAGTGTTCAATGACCAGGCAGCGAAAGATTTTGACCCAAAAGTATGGGTTTGTGTTTCGGATAATGATCATTTTGATGTTCAAAAGATCTACAAGGCAATTTTGGAGGAGATAACTTCCAAGTCTTGTGATGTGGAGACTTTTAACCAACTTCAAGTTAAACTGAGATCTCAAGTTGTCGGCAAAAAATTCTTACTTGTCCTGGATGATCTCTGGAATGAGGATTATGGTAACTGGGAAATCCTAAAATCTCCCTTCATGGCAGGAGCATCAGGGAGTAGGATAATTGTTACAACACGCAACCTCAATGTCGTATCAACAATGACTGGATCCATTGAAAGTCATAATGTACAGCTCTTATCAGAAGAAGACTGTTGGTCCGTGTTCGCCAAACATGCATTCGAGAACAGAGATATTGCCAAATTTACAAATTTGGAATATATTCGTCTAAAAGTTGCCTCAAAGTGCAATGGCTTGCCCTTGGCTGCTAGGACTCTTGGTGGCCTTCTACGTTGTGAGCAAAGAGAAAGTAAATGGAATGATATTTTAGACAGTAAAATATGGGAAGATATATTGAACTCAAGTCAGCATGGTGAGATTCCGAAGGTGTTAAAATTAAGCTATCACCGTCTTCCTTCCCATCTAAAAAGATGTTTTGCATATTGTGCTACTTTTCCGAAGAATTATCAATTCAACAAGAAGGACCTCGTCCTTTTTTGGATGGCAGAAGGTCTAATTCAAGAGTCAAAATACAATAAGGAATTAGAAGATATAGGTGGTGAATATTTTCAAGATCTATTGTCAAGATCACTTTTTCAGAAATCAAGCAATACGTCTACATATGTAATACATAATCTTATTAGTGATCTGGCAAAACAGGCTTTTGGAGATACAAGTTTTAGATTGGAGGATGAATTGAGGACCAACAACCAATCAGAAGCATTAAAAAAGATTCGCCACTTGTCAATTCGCCACTTGTCTACAAAATTTGAAGCACTCCACGAAGCTGTGAACTTTAGGACAATGTTGGAAGTCAATTGTGTTGCATCTGATATAGATTTTCCTAACTTTTTGCCAAAATTCAAAAAATTGAGGGTGCTGTCTGTAATGAGTGATCCTGATATGTTTCCAATGAGTGTTCCAGTCATTAGTTTACCTGACACAATTGGAGATATGAAACATTTGAGGTACCTCAACCTTTCAAACATCAAGATTACAAGCCTACCTGAGTCAACAAATTCATTAATCAACTTAGAGGTTTTGCAACTAAGACGGTGTATGTTAATTGAGAAATTACCTCCTATGGGAAATTTGATCAATCTACACCATCTTAATATCCAAGGAGTAAATTTAATAGAGATGCCGTTGGGAATGGAAAATTGGAAGAATCTTCGAACATTATCTAATTTTGTTGTGGGCAAAGATATTAGATCTGGTTTGGATGTTTTAAAAAACTTCTAAGTTTCTCCGTGGAAATCTTCATATTTCAAAATTAGAAAATGCTACCTCATTTTCGCGAGAAGCAATATTATGTGATCAGGAGAAGTTAGACGAGTTATGGCTAGATTGGGATTGTAGCAATGGTGATAAGGAGTGTCAAAGTGAGGAAGCACAGAAAAATGTACTTGGTATATTAAGACCTCACAAAAATCTAAGAAAGCTCTGCATCAAAGGATATGGTGGCACACAGTTTCCAGATTGGCTTGGAGATTTATCATTGTCTTTAACTTTCTTGGAGACACTTGAGATTTGAACGAAATAGAGAAGCAACAGGAACAAAATAATAATAGTTAAACAAAACAAATAGTAAACAAAGAAAGCAATACGCATGATTTACCCTGGTTCACACAATGTGGGCTACGTCCAGCTGAGTCAATATTATTGCAATATGCCTCACCTCTCTCGTTTACAATGAATGAATTGTTCTCACACCCATAACAAGAGAAAAGTATGTTTATATACTAGGTTTAAGGGATTAAACCTAGTTTTACAAGAATTCCTATTCCTAAGCCCAACCCAAAAAGGAATTAATAACTTAAAAGGAATCCTACAGCGGTTATACATGGAAAAGCCCAAAACCGGGGGGCCCCCGCCCGCTGACCGGGCAGCGAACCCCCGAGTGCGTCTCCGTTACCCATTAGCTGAAGTAGTCGACAACTCCAACATTCTCCCACTTGGCGAATACTTCACACAATGAAGGCCTATCTCATCAACATACCATGTAAACTTTGCTAACGCACAGCCTTGGTAAGAAAATCTGCAGCATTAACAAGTGTATCAACCTTCTCTAACAACACCAATTTTCCTCCACCTTTTGCCTGATGAAATGGTATTGTATGTCAATGTGTTTTGATCGCGAATGAAAGGCAGGATTCTTGGCTAAGTAATAGCCCCTTGATTGTCACATCAATCTTCACAGCACAAGCTTGAACCAAGCTCTAAACTCAATCTTCGAAGCCACATAGCTTCCTGCCAGCATGTGTCAATGCCATGTATTCTGCCTCATCGATGACAAAGCCACAGTACTTTGCCTTTACTCATCCAACAAACAGCAGCACCAATATAAAGAATACATACCCACTTGTGGAACCCTCACTACCGAGATCACCTCCCCAATCAGCATCCACAAAGCCTATCCATCTAGCTCATCCCCAGTCGCCATGCCCCATAACATAATGATAAATCCGAGGTCCCACGAAGATATCTAAGAACCCTCTTTACAGCACTCCAATGCTCCTTACCAGGATTTGACATAAGCGACTCAAAACTCCCACTGCTTGTGCAATATCGGTCGCGTGCACACAGGCAACATCAACCTACCTACACACTCGCATATGGTACATGTGTCATTTCTTCAGCATCTTCCTTAGACTTAGGACACTGATCAGTAGACAATTTCACCCCAAGTCATAGGAGTCTTCACAGGTTTGCAGTCTACCATGTTAAATTTCTTCAACACCTCCCGATGTACTTTCTTTGCCCTAACCACAATTTACCCTCTGACGATCTCTAGTAATTTGCATACCCAAAATAAAATTGTGCAGCCCCAAGATCCTTCAGTCAAATTGTGCAGCTGACAACCCCTTCACAGAATTTATCAACTCCTTGCTATTCCCTATCACAACATATCATCTACATATAGGGTTAAAATAACAAACACTTTTCTAACCTTTTTCATACACACAGTGATCCACGTTGCTGCGGCTAAAACCTGCTGAAGAACATAGAGTCGAACTTTTGGTACCACATCCTTGGGGATTGTTTAAGCCCATACAGAGACTTCTTCAACCTACACACCAAGTCTCCTTCCCTTTACATACAAACCCCTCAGTTGCCTCATGTAAATTTCTTCCTCTAAATCTCCATGTAGAAATGCCGTCTTTACATCAATTTTGTTCAATTTCAAGATCAAACGCAGCAGCAATAGATAGAACATACCTGATTGATGTTAACTTGGCCACAGAAGAAAAATCTCACCATAATCAACACCCTCAATCTGCGAGAATCCCTTTGCAACGAGTCTCGCCTTATACTTTGCAATTGTCCCATCTGCCTGCAACTTTCTTTTGAACACCCACTTGCAACCAATTGCCTTTCTATCCTTAGGCAATTTACATAAGATCCATGTATTATTCTTGTCCAGTGACTGCATCTCATCTTCATCGCAACCTCCCACGATTTGCATCTTCCATGGCTCTTGCTTCATTTACATTCCTAGGTTCATCGCCAATCACATTCAAAGCTGTAATCCACTCAATGCACTTAGAGAGAAACGAACTGGTGCCTTTCTAACTCTTGTAGATCTCCTCAAAGTTGATGGCACCACAACTTCATCATCAGAATCATCCTCAACACCTCCACGACCCTCATCGCCACACTATCAAGTTTATCTTCATGGTCAATTCTATAGACTCTGAATTTCAGTCTCTGCACAACATTTGGGTCATCTCCTCCTCTTGCTCTATGTAGTCACATCAAACGAATTTTCTTTGACTGCTCAAGATCTTCAGTTCCCACACTTTGTTTACCTCTCTAAAGATTACATCTCTGCTGTATATAATGCTTCTACTCACGGATTCCACAACTTATATCCCTTGATGCCATCCTTGAACCCCACAAACGTTGCACTTCTCGGATTTACTGTCAAGCTTGCTTCTCTTCTCCTTGGCACATGCACATACGCATCACAACCAAAAACTCGATAAAAGACAGATTGGGTTTTCACCATACAAAGCTTCAATGGCGTCATGTCTTTAAAAGAAGATTGGGGACCGATTCTTCAAATAACAGCCATCGCTGTAGCTTCTGCCCAAATCAGACCCCAATCTGTCGTATTCAGAATGCATCTAGCCTTCTCAACAGTGGACCGATTGAGACGTTCAGCCACTCCATTTTGTTGAGGCGGTGTAGGTGTAGTTTTCTGCCTTGCAATTCCGTGTGTCGCACAACATTGCTCAACACTTACTAGAGCAAAACTCACCGCCATTATCAGTTTTGCAAAGCTTTAATCTTTCTGTCAACTGTTCTCAACTAAGGCTTTAAATTCCCGAAATTTCTCAAAAGCCTCAGACTTGCTGCGCAAAAATAAACCCACCAGTATCTAGAAAAATCATCAAGAAAGATACATAATCACCTGGATTTGCCAACAGATTCTACTGGAGTGGCCCAAAAACGTCACTATGAATTAACTCCAGTATTTTTGTTGCTCTCGTGCCTGTCGATTGAAAACTAACTCGATTCTCTTGCCTTGTAACATTCCTCACAAAACCCAAAACTCATAGAACAGTTAGGAATACCTTCAGCCATATTCTGAGTCACCAAAGTAGACAAAGCCGACTCTCCAATGTGCCCCATTCGCTGATGCCACATGTTGCAGAATCAAGTTCTTTTTCAGCCTCCTTTCCGAAACATAACCACCCAAAGAGGAATTTCTTACAACTGATGCTGCGCCTGTATAATGTACCATGTCGAACTCCTCGTGCAATAACCATAGATCCCCGTCATCTTACAGTGTTTCTGTCACATGAATCTATACCTGCGTCAGCCATTGTTCCAACGATAGCAGATTTCTACTCATACCAGGGATGTGCATCACTTCAGGAGCGTCCTCATTGAACCATCATGCAACCTCAGCCTGATTTTCCCGCGGCCAATATCTTCACAACAGTATCATCTCCTAACAGAACTTTCCTCCATTGTATGTCTCATACTCACAAAACCATTCCTTGTAGGTGTCATATGGAACGACGCACCAGTATCAACATACCAAACCGATTGGTCTGATCCAGCCATACATGCAGCAGCCACATACATATCACCATTTGATTCCCGTTTGTACGAAGTTCAGCTTCCTTCCCCTTCACCGGTTTGTTTCTGCATTCTTTCTTAAAATGCCCAAATTCCTGACATCTCCAGCATTTATCTTACTTTTATCCTTGCTCTTAGATCTACCTCGCGACTTTCCCTGTCGCCAGACTTATTTGAATTCCTATCAAGGTTTCGTCCCCTAGCAGTTAAAGCATCCCTAGACAACCCTCTGAACCTCTCCGCCGCATATCCTCTGCCAACAATGTAGAACATACAGATTCCCACGCACATCTGTGTCAATCCTCCACCCACCATCGCAACAATCATTTGTCCCACGTATCAGGCAGCGAGCATAACAATATTACCACTTTCTCAGATTCGGTGAGTTTGTACATCCACAGCCAGCATTGATTCACCAGAGTATTAAACTCATCCAGATGTGCAGCAACGAATCCCCTCATCATATGGAGATTGTAAGGTTTCTTGCGACGGAACAGCACGTTCCCAAAGACTTACTCGATACATATTTCCAGTTTTTGCCATAAACCCTTAGCCGTATCCTGATCCATCACATTCGTTAGAACAGAGTCCTCAAGACAGAGCGAACACACCTCTGGCTTCCCGTCCATCTTGTCCCATTCGCAAGTGCGGCATGATCCGTCGCTGCATATCTCCCACAGGATTAGACCCAAGCGTACTTGACAATCCAGTTTCAGACGTTTCACTCTTTGTAACAACGGCAGTCCCGACTTCGGCCTATCATTCACAATTGCACCCCACAGGTCCCTATCAACGAGTAATCCTCCATCCGCAGTTTCCAAGCTCGAAGCGTTTGCCGGTCGACCTTCTCAATCTCAACCTTGATCCCGCCATCTCTAATCACGATCTAACAGAACCTTGCTCTGATACAATTGAACGAAATAGAAAGCAACAGGAACAAAATAAATAGTTACACAAAACAGCAGTAACAAAGAAAGCAATACGCGCGATTTACCCTGGTTCACCCAATGTGCTACGTCCAGCTGAGTCAATTATTGCAATATGCCTCACCTCTCTCGTTTACAATGAATGAATTGTTCCCGCACCCATAACAAGAGAAAAGTATGTTTATATACTAGGTTTAAGGGATTAAACCTAGTTTACAAGAATTCCTA